AATGATTACTAGGTATAATTGCACTAATCAATGTATGCTTTGACTTGTAATAAAGAATGACTTAGGAACTATTTCTCTAATATTCTACCTGACCATGCTAATGCCATAGAAAGGAGTACTCTGAGTGATTTATCATTATTATTGATCAATACTCATCATCATCATATATATATATATCTTATCATATGACTTACCCCTGTTATGAGTAGAATATTGGTTATGGTTTACTTCTTCAATAGTATAAGTTATCAATACATGTCCATGCTAGACCTTCCATGTGGTAAAAATATAAATAACGATACATGAAATACTCTCGGGTAAAATGCTATAATGGTATATTATCTGTGCGCTTGCCACTGTTCGCCTAAACAGTCGTTTAGCCCATTTACACACCGTTTAAACGCTGCACGGTGGTACAACGTTTCCGTTTAATCGGTTGTTTTGACCGTTTAAACGGCCATTTTTTCGTTTAAACACCCGTTTTGCCCGAATAATGGGCTAAACGGTAGGTGACCGACTGTTTACCATTTAGCGTTTAGGATAACACTGGCGCTTGCAGATCCTTTTCATTCATATATTTATTTATTCTTCCTAGTCACATAACTAATAAAGAACTACTTAATATTATTTTAGTAGTAGTGCTATGTAGTACCAACAAGTATCTCTAATATTATGACTAGGGATGACAACCTAGTAAAATTAGGAGATATATGTTTATAATAGGTGGCTATTTAAAAAAACAAGTGATACGTTAATAAATACCAATAAGCATTTCTGGTACTGTTACAAGGGACTAGATTTAAAACTCTATTCTTAGTAGCGACGCTAACAAATGTCAACACCATGCCCTCTCAAAAAGAAGCTAGAGAAGGGAAACTTCACAAAGGAGTACCACTTCCACCAAATATACCACACATATGCACCTCTTGATCAATTTGTATGACTTGTTGCTCCTTGTAATCCAAGTGTTTGACCTAGCAATAGATTCAATTCAAGTAAGCTATGCTTTTACCCCTACCTTAAGCTCCACATAAGCTTTAGGATAGAAATTAAGGCTAAAATTCATGACCTTGGTGAGGATTTCAAACACCATTGAGTGACTTGAGTGTACCATCTGAGGAACTTAGGCAAGTTTTCTTTTCAAATCATGTGAAAACCTCTAGGAAGTTTGAGCTAAACCAAAGTAGGCAAAAAGTATCTATCTAGCTACACATTCTTACAACTGCTTGTATTAAGGTGAAAGCTATAAGTCCCACATTGCTAAGACTAATGGCGAAATTTCTAAGTGCTATCATGTTCAACTCAAGAGATAGTATTTGTTTGTATACAAGTCTTTACAGGGCGTTACATAGTAGTGACTCTTGATCCAACAACCTATTCCATGCTAAACCCGCATCTTTGCTGAGGGCAACAAAGGGGTAGCTTGGGGGAGCTTGTTGACGGTCACTAACACCCGTTTTGACCATCAACATTCCACCCAAAAGCATGGTAAAGTGAGGTAAATCATCATCACATGTGAAGAATTATGTTTAAATTTCACCTAGTTCCACTTGTGCTTGTAGAACTATTTGTATGCAGGAAATATGGCAAAATTTGGCCAAAATGGTGACAAACATGGATCAAGGAAGCAAGTGGACGTGGCAGGGCTGCCTAGGCCCACAGGGCAGCACCACCTAGAACCACCTTGGCACCGCTCGGCCCTACCTAGTGCCACCTTGGCACTTTGCCATGTCACTGATCCATGGGAGCCCCTCCAGAACCAATGGGATGCGTTGATCTAAGTCGATTCAATCAATGGTCATGATGAAGAGGCCATGGATCCATGGGCCCATTGTCATAGACTTGGATCTTCACCGACCGACTTACCGGCCAAGTTTCACCACGTGCCGCCTCTACAACCGCCATTGGGAGCCAACCATCACCGTTAGATCGTAATGCGGTGGAATGGAGGGCCAGGCGGCGCCCTCCCTAAGCCGCCCGACGCCCAAGTCACTCCACCGACCTTGCCACTGCCTACAAATACCCCTCCCCTCACTATACACTATAAATAGTTGGTGTGGAGCTCGGTGGAGAAGTGCCCCATTCTTTTCCAAGCTCTCCAAGCTTCTTTTACCTTTCTAGCTTAGCATTAGCTATAGAGTAGTAGTCTAGTAGTGGAGTAGAGCAAGAGCGGAGCTTCTCGGAGTCCGGAAGAGTCTTCTGGGTCTGGTATAGCTCCTTTGTAATTCCTTTATTTCTGCATTACTTTATTCAGTATTTATTTTAGTACTTTATTCTAGTATTGCTTGCTTTGCTTTAAGTACTTAGTCATTAGTCTTTATCATTAGTGAGCTTAGGTGCTTATTGTTTGGCATTAGTAGCATAGGTTATGTTATCATTAGTAGTCTTTCGTTAGTACCGGTTCCACCATCTGGTTAGGGTGCTTTGATCTCATTTTATCAGAGCTTGAATCGAAGTAGTAAGTTTATAGATTAAGCATGGTGCTTAGGCTATAGATTACATGTGGATATCGCTAGGCCTCTAGATAGATTGTGGTAGGTGGCAAGTGGTGACAACCTTGTCCATCCTCTGTATTTCACCACGATAGGTCTAGTTATTAAATCGTATGGCTCGTGGTAGACCTTGTCTATTTAACTCTCCTATTTGGTAGGCGGGTTGTGCCCCGAAGTACTATCGCATTTCTCCATTATTTGTTTACCCTTAGTTACTAAAAAGATATATCGCTCGCTCTCCCACCTAGCTATCTATAATTAGCTTGTATTTAGTAGTTAGTTTAGGTGGTTCACACCCATCCTTCACTATCGTTCATCTACCTAGGATCAACTTAAGACCTACCTTTAACAAATCCTAGTCCTATATAAATTCTAGCCTTCCGCCTTCCTATGAGAAAAATATAAATTCGACACTCGGTACTCACCGAGTGAAGTGCTACGCGATAGTTCTGTGCGCTTACGGAATCCTCCAATAGTCGTTAAGAAATATCAACAGTAACCCATATCCACAAAGTCTCAGCCATTTGTTTTCTTTGGATCTTGACAATTAGTCGCCATATGCCCTAAGTCTTTACAATTATAGCAAATTGGGGGATTGGGATAGTTATAGCTCTTGTGACCTGTCTTGTTGCACCTGAAGCATTTATCAATCAGCCCTCCACTATCGTCTCTACCATACCCTCCTCTGTTCTGTTTATCTCGGACGAGATTGTGGCGTAGGTCTTCCTCTTCAAACTGTGATGGCCCCCTTCTTGAGACCTTCTCTTTGCACCCCTATTTTCCTCTCTCCATTTGAAATCATCTCGCCCTGGAACATCTTGCCTTCTAAAGTCATCCCTCCCTGACTCCCAGTATCCCTCTCTACCCCCGCCATCCGTCCTTTGATCATAGCGAAAGTTGCTAGGGTTGTGGTTGTAGCGCTCACCTTGGCGATCGAACTCTCCTTCCCGCGGGCCATAGTCCTTGCGTTCCTCCTCACGCCCCCATGGAAGTTGCCTTTCCCTCCTCCATGATTGTCCATCCTGCTCCCCCGCAACCTCTACAAAGGATCTTGAATCTCTGGTTCTAGGGTTCACCGATCTGATGTGTTTCGCAGTCGCTCCAAATCTCCTCACCTCCTCTTTGGAAGTCGGCACTCTGATTCAGGCGGCGTCTAGAACCCTAGACCAGGGAACTCACACCCATTTGTGAGTTTCTCGGCCTTTGGTAAGAATGGTCAAACATGTCTTCAATATTGGACCCAGAGCCCTCCTTGTGGGCCGGCCCAACATCCTGCTCACCCGGCCTTCTGTTCTGGGCCTCCCCTGTTTCTTCCATCATACTCCTCCACTTCTTCTCCAACTCCGATAGCCTGCACATCGCCGCCTCTAACGCCATTGCTGAGCGTTGAAGCTCCAAATTCTCCTTGTCTCTAAGAGCATTCTCCTCCACTAGCCTCTCTTCGTTTTGAATTCTATCCTCCACCATCGACTGGGCTCGCTCTGCAAATGATCGAAAGTTGAACAAGGATTTTCTGTTTTCCTTAGCTTGCCTCTTTTTCTGTTGCTTTGTATCCCATTTCGCTGTTCTCGCACCTCGACCTAGGTCACTCCATGATTCATCCGGACGCCATGGGTCCTCAATAGGATTTTGCATATTACCCCCACTTATTCCTATGCATAGCTGTACATGGCTAATCTTTAGGCCCTAGATTCAAATAGCTTCGTGGGCTAAACTTTAACCCCTTCATCCTAAGGTGTAACCTTTAGCCCCAGGCAATTATTATCTATTGACAAACTCATCCTAACTCTGACCCGACCGGTTGTCAAGAGGTACTACCGATATGTACTAGCCAAACTGCGAAAGTAGCCCATGTCATAAAAAGATCCATGGAATATTCAAATATTTTTGTTGTAGACACCATAAGAATAACAATTGCATCCACCGTTCTCCTATCCGATGGAAGTGCAAGTCCAGTTAAAGCGGTTATTAGTTTGAGATCGAAGTACTCAATCCATCTAAATTATAAGGCGTTTGACTTTTTTTGACACTAAATTTGACCACTTGTCTTATTCAAAAATTTGTGTAAAATATCACTTCTTTTCGTCGTGGTTTGATTTATTAATAAAAATTCTTCAAGAATGACTTAAATTTAACTATATTTACACAAATTTTTTGAATAAGACGAGTGGTCAAACTTGAGGGAAAAAAAGTCAAACGTCTTATAATTTGGGATAGAGTAGTATATTATAATACGGATGGGCTGTGTCTGTTTGTACAACAATTATTATAATCTGGATATGACGATGGATCGTCGCTCGGAGTCGGAAACTTAGCGATGCAACAACAAAGGAAGACCAGTAGTAGCTGCTAGTGGAGACAAGCGTGAGCATGAATGTGAGATTAATTGCCTTAATAAAAGGATCTGAACTCGGAAGCAGCGTGAGCATGAATGCGAGATTAATTGCCTTAATGAAAGGATCGGAAGCAGCAGGTACTACGCTGCAGGGGTTTTAATTAATTAATTAGTTAATCAGAGAGATTCTTCTTGTTCATCCGTTCCAAGAAGCTCTTGCCGTGGAGCTTGGCGGAGAAGAAGAGCGTGATGAAGCTTTGGTGGTCCAGCGTCTTATACTTGGGCGCCTCCTGGTCCCCGAGGAGCTCCGGCAGCGGACCTATGGTGGCATGTATGCTGGGAGAGTGGAACGCCGCGACGGACATACGCTCCGTGTGGGCGTTGACGACGGCCCGGTGCTCCACGCTCCTGTACCTCCCGTTGGTGAAGATCTCGAGGACGTCTCCGACGTTGACGACGAAGGCGCCCTGCAGCGGCGTGATGGGAAGCCAAGCGCCGTCGCCCGGCCTCCTGATCTGCAGGCCCTGGATCTGGTTGACCTGGAGGACGAGGGTGAGGAGGTCCGAGTCGGAGTGCGGGGAGAAACCCAGGACCTTGTCCGCCGCTTCGGCGCAGGGAGGGTAGTAGTTCATCCTCACCGACTGTATCATCGACGATAATGGTATCCCGCCGCTGACGCCGGCGACGAGGCGCTCCGGGTCCGTGAGGCCCAGGTTCCTGGACATGGCGCCCAGCAGGCGGTCGGCGACGTGCTTGACGGCGGCGGAGTAGGTGTCCAGCGTCCGGCTGAAGCTGTCGGGCTGGTGAGGCCAGAACCTGAGGTTCCTGTGCTCGGGCGGCTGCGTGTTGAGGTAGAGGACGTCGGCCCAGTCCAGCTTCTGGTCCTCGGAGACGACGAACAGCTGGCCGTAGCCCTCCAGCTGGCCTGCCTCCTGACGGAACTGCTCCTTGGCCTCCGCAGGAAGCGCGAAGAATGCGTGGGTGCTGCCCTTCATCGCCTCCATCACATCCTCCGGAACACCGTGGTTTATCAGCTTTTATTTATTTTTTGCAAGAGCAGATATCAGTTATTAATATTATCACACACACACAAAAAAAAAAAAGAGGAGGAGGAAAACTCAAAGAAACAAATAAAGGGAATTAATTAATATAACCTGGAAGAAGCCCCAGTCCTGGCAGGCCGCATGGAGGCGCGCAGATTCTTCCGGGTCGAGCAGCAGGAGCCTCTGGAAGTCGATGGTGGGGATGCTGGTCGTTGTCGCGTCGCCGTCGTCAGCAACGACGACATCCGTGGCCACCTCTGGACGGAGATACCTCGGTGGCACTGGTGCATGACCGGCACTGGCGGCCACCATGGCCTGCACGCTGGGCACAGGGAGAGACCCCGCCATCTCCATCTCGATGATCTTCTACGAATCGAATGACGAAGCTGTCCGTCCCCCTCGATGGATCTCTTTCACTCTTCAGCTTTGAGTGACTGTGAGCTTGTGACTACTGACAAATTAGCTAGCTAGCTAGGACGAGGATGAAAATGAAAGGAATGGCCTGGCAGGCTGTGCCTGTGGAACGTGGATGTGGATGGATGGCCGCCACTTGCACTTGGTTCTCTCTCTAATACAGCACCAACCTACAGCATCCGGCCCATACTCTCCTTGTTACTACTGCTATTGCTTCATAAATAATATCATAAAATATCATATCAGTATAATATAGTGCCAACTTGCTTCAGTACTGTATGTTGCACGTATTTGTTATAGACCCTAGTCGCTGGCCTGGGGTAGTATATATATTACACGATCACATGGGTATCAGTCGTCTCATTCATCAAATTCAAATGAATGAAATAAGATAAGGCACCTTGCTTGAAAACCAATACTCTGCATCATACTGCAACACATGCTTCAGCTTTTGTTTATGTTGTGCTTCCTTCAATCCGTCCTAAAAACAATACAATACAATTCCAGAAGCTAAATCATCTTGAGTTTGACTATTGTTTTAATAAAATATTAATACTTATGATACCAAATATGTACCATTGAATTTATGGTGAGATATATTTTCATGCTATACCTATTTTATGTTACAAAGTTTAACTAGCGATGAAGCTAGAATTACATCCTTTTCTAGACCAAGGTGGTAGCATTTGACAGAGCATCTTCAAGAAATTAGCCAAAAAAAACTTACCAAATTTACTGATTTAGCTACTCTCTAAAATAGATTTGACAAAAAAAATACCAGAGTACTCTATCAGACTCTATAAAATCAAAAGACTAGAGAGGTAGGCTATTCAAAAGTAGAGAGCGAATAAGATAGGATGGAGAGCTACTAAATTTAAAGAGCCATTTACAGAGTCTGCTAAAGACGTTTTTTCTTCGGTAATAGCTAAATTTACATTTAGAAAATAATACCTCGGGTATAGCAATCTACAAATGCTTCACTTGACGGTCAGACCTTCACTTGACGGTCAGACGGGCATGGCACTGAAGAAGAATCGTCCTGTACTTGCAACATGGACGTTGGACGATCAGACAGCTAAAGATTATTTAAAGGTTTAGGACCGACAACCGTGACTTCTGAGCACATGCTACCTTGAGATATTATATCCAATATAACAGTTCAGGTTAAGAAATGGGCAGGAGCAAGAAGGTAAGCAACCCTATCGAGTATGGTTATTGTCAAGCCGAGTAGACTACCACACAAATAACCTACAACAGGTGAGCTTCTCTTTTTACACATGTCATGGAGCATTAGCATCATACATACATACACTAACAGTAGAAGAAAACGCAATGTTCATAAGCTCCTTTCTTGTCCGGAAGGAATGATTGATAGTTCACTATCTTGTTGGTTCCGAAAAAACATCAGCAGCTTCTAGTTCGCCGAGAGGAAGTGCACTCGGGCGAGGGGATGCTCCTTCCCAGCCACCCAGACGCCGGTCTGCGACCACTGCACGTCCTCCCATTCTAGATTATCCTGCAACACCTGCATCATTGCCGAGGTAGCAAATGCCAAATGTAAGTCGTGTTTCTGTCTCCTGATGAAGAGTTTCGAGTCTAATCACCAACAAAGTTGAAATACCTCAAGCTGGTTTGCTGGTAGCGGGATACCAATGGAGCGCATGGCACTTTCAGGCATGGCCTTCTTACAACGGGACCATCGGAACACATCCCGTGTTTCATGCTCCGCAACGCGTCTGTCACCATTTTGTGAGTGGTGACTGCTGCTCTGGTGTTTCTCTGCTTCTGCTTCAGATGCATTGGAGCTTGATCTAACAATACGAGGCTTCTCTCCACTGAAGCACAGCTCGTACCTGTGTAAAATTGTAACAACAGTGAGTTCTATCAAAGTACAACTTGGGAAGCAACCAAAGAAGCCATGAACAAATATTCAGAACGAAATAAAAATAGTGGCAGAGGCTCATACCTATCGAAGTGTGTCTCTAAATATATGACTTCTCCTTTCTTCAGTCTAGCAGAAGTATAAAGAGACTTTTTCAATCCCTTGTCTGCCACAATGCTTATACTGTATTTTAACCTGGACAAAGAAAAATGCCAGATCATATTAAGCATCCTAAAACTAAACAGATAACTAACTACAAGAGAACAACTTCAAAAGGCACACAAAGTCTATTGTACCAAGAAGATTGAAAACACGCTATACAAAATTACAAATGGCAATACAAGTGATGAACTGAACATAATTGTACTAGTGAACTACAAATGACATCTTTGAGTGCAGATCAGAAAGGTACCATGGCTCATTGCAGAGATTATACTGTATAGTCACTTCACGGACAAATCTTTGTTGACGCAAAGCATTCTGTAATAATAAAGCATGTTGGAAAATTCTTAGTTTCGAGTAGAGAAAAGTTTGCTGGTTACGGAATCTACCTCAGACCAAAACAAACATTGATTGAAGTGGGAATAAAATTGTGAGAGAACAGGGAAAGATAAATGAAAATCAAAAGAAAATTACGGAAGCTGCAGCTTGTGAGAACAGGGAAAGATAAATGAAAATCAAAAGAAAATTACGGAAGCTGCAGCTCTTGTCGTCATTGTACGCTCAACCACAACTGGAGCAAGAGTAGGCTCCACAGCTGATGTGTGGCTAAGGCACGGCTCGAGGTCAATGGTGCCACCACCTTTCTGAAAAAGCATGTAAAGGAAACTAAGGAAACATTCCATGAAATAGGACCATTACAAGGTTACAAAAGGTGACTACATTGAGAGTCCAACAAAAAAGGAGGCACGGTAATGTTCTATATTGACCACACCCTTCATACCTTAACAATGCAGCAGCGTTCTATCCGAAAGCTACAACCAATCCCAGCACCCCAAGCACGTGAACGCACATTGTTGCTCAATGTTGAAGTATAATCTGCGACACATACAAAGTGTTATGAGTAAGCACCATCTGTTCCAACCAAGGCCGACTGAACGATCATGAAATGTATGGAAACTTACTCTCTTGTGGTGGTAGAACTCGAACAGTTGCACGAAGCTCTTGGATGGCAGATGGTGGAGGGGGGGACGTAGGGGAGCAGTAACCAGTATGCATTAGCACTAAAAGAAACACGCATTAGTAGCTGAGCACCTTTTAGAAACTTAGAACAGTAGTACATAGGAAAACTTTCTGAAACTATTTCGAGGAATCTACCAGCCACAAGATCTGAATCATTTGTATAAATATCTGTTCCCCAAAGCTGAGCACCCTTTACCTGCACAATAGCAATCTTGACAAACGAATAAAGGAGATAACAAGTAGTGCAAGCTTGGAGGATAATTTAATAGAAAAGTGCAAAACAAATGGAAACATGCTGGTATGCATAGGTGCAGCTGTGAGGCAAATAGAAAACATGTCCATAACTAATAACAACCAAGTGAAGCTCCAACAGTATTACTCATAACAGAGTTGCTGACAGAGTTCAGTCCCAACATGGAGAGCTGAGGTAGCCAAAAGTGACTAAAACAGAGATTGTCTGCCAAATCTGTATACTCACTTGACGATTAGTGGAAGTAACAAATTCCGCAGGTATTCGAATTTCAAGGGTAGGACCATTCTGTAGACTTTCAGCGTTTGTAGCATCCTGAGTTGCACTGAACTCTGTCCATGATTTCAGCAGCTCCTCCATGCACTCCCCAGCTTTGTAAACAATGGCAGACACCTCAGACTTACCTGCAATGAAGAGAAGACTGAGATATCAAAACAACACGTTAAAGATTTCATGCACATCGCGACAGGATGTCATTTCTACAGTGCACCTGATAAGGAAACAGTATTAAGAAGGTTATTAGTCTTAACAAGGTTACAAGTACTAGGAAGGCTATCAGTATTATAAAAGTTATCTTTATGATCCAAAATTATCATAGTGCTGTGGAGCTAGCTGTTGGAGGTAGCAGCAGGCAACCTAGAAGGGCTGGCAGATGGTTGCGAAAAGTAGATGACGATTTTGTGGCTGGTTTTAGTGGGGCAGTGGTGTTTGATGGGAATAATTGGATGCAGCAAGTGCAGCAACATCGGAGGGCGGGTGAGCACAGTTGAAAAGGAAGGACGAGTGCAGCTACAGTAGGGTGATTGCGGTGAAAACTGATTGTGAAGGATTGCTGAGGACAATTTTGGTGCAGAAAGGCTGTATGCGAGTTGGTGGCAGAGAGACTATGAGGGCATGGGCGGCAGCAATTTGACGGCTGATGCAAGCACTTGGGGTGGGAAGCTGAGGCAGTGGAGCAGAAGAAGAAGAACATGCAGAGGCATCATCCGATTTGTTGTGGTCAGGAGGGTTTGTGGGCAAAGGCAACAAAGGAATATCAAGTGCGGGAGTGGAGAAGCAAGAAAAGGCAACAGATACAGTGAAAACAATGACTGGAAATTTGTGATGGGCCAGGTGGCAGTAGACACAATCACTATGATACCAAACATTGTGAAACCAGATGAATACAGCATTACAGCTACATGGGGGCTGATCACTCTCTAATCTTCAGAATTCTTCTGTCGAGAAGATGCTCTGATCATAGCAGATTGGTGGGAAAGCACTATACTAAATAGAATCTTGATTCGTTCCTCTCCTACCTTTGTAGTTTTAAGAAGAGTGAAGTACATTAGCGATCCTTAAACTTGTCCAGGGATTTCATCTAAAAAACTAGGAGGGACTAGGTGGCATTTTATTAAGAAAAAAATAGGCATCCAAATTCGCATTGACAAGGGGACTTGAACCTAGGTTGTCTGGGTACACATCCACACCCTCGACCAACTGGGCTTAGCTCAGCTTCTGAACTATTAATTTCAGGTCCTGACCTTGCCCAGTGGTTCATTGTATTTGACTGACCTAATGTGTTAATCTGCATACTTGGCATCTCTAAGCATTGTCTTCTTTCATGTTCTCACTCCCTAGTTCATACCTTGTTAGCGCCCATATCAACATAGCATGCTTAGTTAGTATTCACATAATAAGCAGCCAAAAGGTTTATCACAGGTTTTGGACCTTTGGATGAACTATTTAGTGAGTTAGTTCTCAGTTAAATAGCTTGGGGACCCAAATGACATCCAGGGACAAATTGAGGGAACGCTGCTGCATATTACTCTTTTTAGAAACTGGCCAACAGATCACATCCGACTTGGACTCCTAACTTTTATAACACCGATGCATATGCATGGTTTCCAATTTCCATAACAGTTCCCAAATGGAAAAAAAGCACCAAAACTTGTCACACTGTAAAATGCATTTCTTCCAACACAAAAATGCAAAGAACTTCCATTTCTTCCAACATAAAAATGTAAGCAACTTCTAATACTGGAGTGAAAGTTTGAGCATAAAATCTTATACGAAGTGTAAAATGAATATATGCTGAAGCAGATCTTTCGGCTACATCCATTCCAAAGAAAAGCGCCAGTATCCATTGTACTCAGCTACTATAAGAATGTAGATATTTGACTGACCTTGGGATCTGCAAAACAAAAAATAAAGATATCAAGGACTATCACTAATTAATAATCTCTAACAAATTAACATCAGGTCCCTATCTTCAGTTCTCAGTTAGGGAAGACTGAATTTCCACAAATGAAAAATGCCATGCAACTGCATTTACACTACAGCCTGGACATCCTGGGCGTCCAAACCAATAAAATAGATAGAAAGAACGGAGCCATCATCGTCCCGATCCCCACCACATCTCCTCGGTCTCAATCTCGACCCCGGCATGCACACCGCCTCCCTCCCTCATGATGGATCCTGCTCCCCCACCTCCTCCACTGCCCCTCCGGGCTCCGCTGGAGCCACCGCCCTCCACCACGGCCAGCCCTAATCACTGCGAGCACAACGGCCCATCTCTGCCCAACGACCGCCGTCCATAACCACAGCGGCGAGCACCGGCGGCGACCCTGCCGCCTCACTGTTCCAACCACGAACCACCACCACCCCCGGGCCGGCGACCTCCCCGGCCATCCTTCGATCTATAGCTGGAGGCCACCATGAACCACAAAACCCAAACCCTAAACTCCAACCCAAAAAACTAACACACCAGAGTTAATGGAGATGCTGGACATGGAGAAGAAGGAATCCAACATCCTAGAGAAGAGGGCTCGCCAGTGACGGAGGTACACGCATTCCCACCCCAATAAGATTGAACAGATGAATAGCCCTGTCAAATTTCTCTCCGTCAGAACGAATCTTGACGTTACACCTGGATGTCCAGGGCACGCCATCCTGGGCGTCATATAAATTTACTTTATATTATCATGCTACTGGAAAAACTTTGAAAGTATAGCAAGGATGCAGCATCAAGCTTACCCTTCACCATCACGCATTCTGGATCGAAATCGAGGTTCACGCTGAGATGCTTGACTACCTCCCCTCGGTCGCACCACCCTCCTGCGTTGGAAACTTCCAGAAACTTCTTTATCTTTCTCCATACCTCCTTCGGTGACATTATCATCTGATTCCTTGTCATTATATATTCTTCTTTGCTCATACCTGTCCCCTGCATCCACATCTTTCTCTCTTTTCTTGTCCTTAAGATCCCTATCATGAGCATTCCATAAATCATTCTTAGGCACCTTGGATTCTGTTGCTGTATTCCCATGCTCAGCACTCTTAACAGCTCCAGCAGATGAAGCCTTTTCCAGTATAGTGTTATCCTTCTCAATTACTACAGATGAATCTTTCCAAGCAGAATCCTTCCCCCTATCATTGTCTTCCTTGTCTCTCAGGGAATCTTTTCTTTCCCTGTCCCATTTGTCAGCATCCCTATCTTCCCTTTGCATTTCTCTTCGCTCAACACCACTACCACTGAGCTGTACACCAGCCCGACGATCATTTCTATCACCTTCTCTTGCACCAAAGTCCCTATGCTTCTCATCCTTCTTTTTCCGGTCCTTGTCTCTGAATTTATCTTCGCTTCGTAGTTCAGCTTTGTTGTCACCAACAGATTCATGTGCATCCTTGGAGGTACGTTCTTCCACAGAAATTGGAAATTTGAGAGTTTCATCAGTACCTTGTAAACTAGGATGGGGCAAAGTCAAAAGCCCATCCACATTATCAGCTGGCTGTTCAAAATATCTTTTAACCCTATGTTCCGTGTTGTCCTTCCAGCCTATGTTTGCTGGAACAGTAGAATGGCAATCCTTGTCAAATTTGATGTCACCTTTGTAATCAGGATGGCCCCTCCTGTCAGCCTTTATTTCGCTTTCATCCGCTCTATTGTCTACCTTTACATCACCCTGAATTTTATTAGCCTGAATTTCAATCCTTGAATCACTATAGACATCCCTAGCATCAGCTTTTGTCTCACGATGATCTGTCTTAGTGTCCCTTGCATCTTTATTTTGCTTTGATTCTGATCTGCTGTCAGACGAGATGGGGTGGTCAGCAAAGTTGGTGGAGCTAACAGGCATCCGGTGTGTTAGGGATGGCCTCTTATCATCACGAGGCTCCACACGTTGGATTTTTGCAAATCTACCATCATGTTCAAAAGAACTATGGAAATCACTGCCACTAGACTGAATAACTTTCCCAGGACTCGAATACAAGCTGCTGTCATCCAAAGGCCGTTTTGCTGGCATGGTGTGGCTACCCTCCTCGTGCAACCTCTTTGGAGCACCGCTCATTTTTCTCCAAAGTGCAAACTAATTCTTCAGCGTGAGCCAAAAATACCTCAGAATCTCAGATACAAAAGGAAGGAGGTCAATGTTTTTGGTGCAATTTGCTGCAAGAAAAAACTTGGATCAGGATAGGACACATCAATTATTTGCATTTTTGTTTTGAAACATAGTCAAGAAATTTCGGAACAACCACGTATCTGGCAAGTAGTAATTGCGGTGAAGAGATGAAACATAACCCCTGGGTCTTTCAGTTTGGGGAATAAAACCCTGTCTCATAAGTAGTCATGTTTGGGCCTGAAGCTCTAAACTGACCCCAACCAAATCATTTAAGGCAAGAGCAAACATAGCCCACATGTTTACAGTTGACAGACCAAAGAAAAACTATGCCCCCATATATGTGTAAGATTAAAAACAGAGCAATCAACTTGTATTGACCAGAACCCAGCGAATACAGTGGCATAGAAAGCATGTGATTGATACGATATACACATATACACCCAATTATTTTTTTGCAAAGCAAATCGAGGTTAGTAGGCATAATACATGCATATACACTTGTAATTAGATTCAGATCCGATTACGAATAGTATGTTAGGGTTTGGGCGCACGGTTTCGCACAGCAGGAAGGGAAGACCAAGGAGAGGCCGTACCTACGAATTACGTTAAGGTTTGGGCGCACGGCTTCGCACAGCAGGAAGGGAAGACCAAGGGGAGGGAATAACTGGCGAAGGTGGCGGGTGGCAAAGTAGGACAGCAGCGACGGCCGGCCCAGTCGTTGGTGAGTGGGGGGTTACGCGCATGCTTAGGGTGATGGAAGAAGAAGGCAGAGTAGGGTTGTAGCATACAGCTACAAGCGGATTGGGTGCGTAATGACATTTTTAGAGCGAGGGCCGGTCAGAGGCTGGAGCAGAATCAAGCAGACGGAGAGGGACCGAGAGGGACGAGCTGTTGGCGTGGGAAGGAGAGAGAAGATCGTGGCGCTGTCCGTACGGGGAATCTACCTGTGGAGCTGTGTGCCGGCCGCGCCGGAGCCGCCTCGCGGGGACACCGGGGCTACAGAGGGCGGACGCCGCGCCGGAGCTGGTCGCGAGGACGCTGAGCCCCAGGTGGTGCTCGACCGAGCGTGGTCTCCTCTCCGGGTTGCGGCGCGGCGAGCGGAGGGAGGAGATCGGCCGCGGGCGAGACGAGCTCAGGCGGCGGGCGAAGGGGCGAGCTCGGCCACGGGGGGTGACTGGGAGGGAGAGGAGAAGAAGAAGAACCGACTTGGAGAGTGAGAAAAGAAAATAAAAAAGACTATAGGCTGACAGATGGGCCATCCCGTATTTTTTCGACAAACCAACAGAAAATTAAGACCGTACCGTTCCATCCTAAAAAAAATAGATCATCTCGTCTCGCTATATCCTATGACCAAACACATATTAAGGTCATGTTTGATTACCTCTCCTTAAAATTTTAGGAGTTAAAATCTAAATAAAATTTGCCTAAAGAACCAAACACCCCCTCCTAAGAGCTCCTAAAATTTTAGAAAGAGCCAAAAACTTTAGGAGCTCCACCCCTTCCTAAAACCTTCTAAAGTCTTTCCTGAACCCCCACTACCCCTCATTTATTGCCTCCTCCCTCTCTCTCCCACCCTTCCTCCCTCCAGCGCCTCCATCCTACGCCCCCTTCTCCCTCCATCCTGGCGACGGTGGGCCTCTTGCGACCCCTACCCTCCACATACGGCGGTGGCGCCCCTTCCCGTCGACTCTTCACCCTCGGCCAGCGGCGAACCCTCTCCCCCATGGATCTCAAGCACGGGAAGCAGGTGGCGGCGCTCCCTCCCTCGGCGCATCCGGGCATGATGGCCCTCCCCAATCCCATTGATGCGGTGGTGATGGGCCCCCTCCGGTGTCCCCCGGCGGCGCACTGCTCCCTCCCTCCACGCCGACGCCCGCGCCCTCCCCCGTCGGATCCGCCGCCCTCGCTCCCTCATGACGCTTCGCTTCCTCCTGTGATTGCTCCCCAATCCGGCCTGGCCGATCCGCCATCGACGGCGGCTTTCGTGACTCAAAAACCGCTTCAGGCGGGCATTAGGGGCATGCATGGAAGGTCGCGTGGAGCGTGAGGTGAGTAGAGAGAGAGGGCGGGGTTCAAGCGTATGGGGACCTCTGGGCTAAGCGTTCTTTGCGCTTCGGGACGGGATGGTTGGCATGGGGGTCTCACACTCGCGACCATCATGAGCACAAGAGGAGAAGCGGTATTTGGCGAGGAAGAGCTTTTTGCTCGCAGGGGTAGCAGGGGTATGAGGAAGAAGGGTAAAAGTGTCTTTGTTCAACAACATTTATTGCTTTTAGTCAATTTTAGAAGGTGCAATCAAACACTCTTTTAGGAGGTTTTAGAAGGCTGCCTAAAACTTTTAGGAACTAAAGTTTTAGGAGCTCGGAACCAAACAGGGCCTAACAATATTTTTAGAGCTAATAATAATAATAGTATTATTATATTTAAGCAAACATCTTAGAACCTGTAAAGTTTGGTTCTCTCACTTTGGAAAATGTATATGAGCGAGATAAACACAATAGATGTTTGTCGGTGACCCCGTTCGTTTCGCTGAAAAAACAAGTCGAAACACTGTTCTGGTTGATTTGTCGTGAGAGAAAAACACTGTTCCGACTGAAAAAAACAAGCTGAAAAGTATGGATTATAAAACAAGCAAACAGGGCTGGTGATATGTACCAGGGTACCTCAGTAAACTCAACGAAGAAGTATGTGAATTCTCCCCTTAATTCCCCGCCAGCTTCCAGCGTAGGACACGCGGCCACGTTGCTCCAATTATTCCTGGCCGTTGGATAGTCGTTGAGCGGGGGAAGCTCGTCCCTCGCTTCTTGTCCGAAGCTAGATAGTCAAATATATACCCCAGCTTCCGCTTCACCTTCCCGCTTCTCGCCCCCTCCTTTCTCCTCATCGTTGTATCTCTCTCTCGATCTCTCCCTATAAATGTCCATGCAGCTCGAGCCCTGCCAGCCCGGCACGAAGCCCGCAAATTTGGTCCAGGCCAAGCACGGCCTCGCACGGTAGAGCAAGCCATGCCTGAGCCTTACCCCAGGCACGACGTGCCAGCCCTGCACGCCCTGGCCTTTAGGCTATGGCCCGGGAGCGGCCCGGCCTCCCCACCTCTCAACGTCAACAGCCCAGCGGCCCAGCCCAGCAGGCTCCCCTGCTCGTATATAAACGAGCGGATGTGACGCCCTCCTCGTCCCCCTCACCCCGAACCCTAATCAATTTCAGTCCACCCGCCGCGCCACTCTCTCGTCTCGCACTCTCGCCTCTCCGACTCCTCTGCTGGCGACCGGTGTCCGTCCTCCCCGACTCTGGTTCCGGCGACCTTGATCCGCCTACCGCCGGTGAGCCGCTCCCTTCTCCTCCTTCCTCTTTGCCTCTCCCGTCTCTCTCTCCCTCTCTCCCCTCTAGATCTCGTGATTATGTTAATTTAAAGTTCATGACACTATTTGTCCCTCCTCCGCGTGTTCGTCGTCCTTGCTAACCGGTGTGTCATCTTCTATGGGTGGCCCTCGTCTTCTCCGACACCGAGCTCCGGTTGCGCAGGTAAAACCCTAACCCTAACCCTAACCCTCCTCTTCTTCCATTGATCTATTCTGATTTGATCTTTTTATCCTCCTCCATCTCTTTGCATAGGTCGGTAGTTGATGCGTCGTCCTTTAGCTGTGGCATAGAGTGACCAAGGCGGCCCCGCGCACCGTTGAGGAACGGTGCTGGAGAGCCGTCCTCCATGGCGACTACTGATGATGATATCGTCTGGTCGCTCACCGGCAACGACGACTTGATCGTGGCAGGCCTGGCCCCTGAGGACGACGATGACACCGGAGAGGATCGCTGCTGCGTTGTTCGGTATCGATGTCGGTAGCGGCTCTGCTGCTCCGACTTTGATCGATCTGGACGGCGATGGCGGTGAAGGGGCGACGACGTGGGAACCCGCTGGGCTCCAACTCCAACATCTCTGGTAACTCTAATGTTGGTAAGCGTAAATCACCTGTGCAGGCTGATTTTGATGAGATATATGAGACTGTGAATGGTAGGAAGATGTGCACTGAAGCTACCTATAAAATGTGTAAGCAAACCTTGTCTGCTAGATCTAATGCCGGCATTGGCCACTTGAAGAGGCACCAGAAATATTGTAGGCAGAAAACTGATCAACGTGCTAGGGTTCAGTCTAGGCTTGCTTACAATCCTGATGGTTCTGTGCATAACTGGGATTATAAACCTGATGTTGTTAGATCTGAGTTGTGTCGCTTGATTGCTAGACTTGATCTGCCGTTAGGTATTGGTAAGACAAAGACTTAGAAAAGAGTATATTGTTCATGCTCATAACCCTAGGTTTATTAAGGTATCTAGACAGACCACCACTAGAGATCTTAGCAAGCTATTTACTAAACGTCGTAATATTCTTAAAAACTATGTGTTGTCTGCTGCTTCATCTGTTGCTCTGACATCAGACATTTTGTCTAGTAATGCTAAGGAGGAATACATTAGTGTTGTGGCCCAGTTGATTGAGAGTTACAGAAAAAGATAATTGGTCTTCGGTTGATTGAGGTGAAACATACTGGGAAAATATTGCTGAAAAAGTTGCTTGTGTGGTTCAGGAATTTGGTTTGATTGACAAGGTTTTTTCTGTGACTCTAGACAATGCTTTTTCTAATGCTAAGGCTATGGAAACTTTGACACCTATATTTGTTGGTTATTTGGATTCTGATCCTCCACCTGATCCTTTAGATCCTAATAAGCATAAGTATAGTTTTGTGCATCAACGTTATGCTTGTCATATCATTAAGGGGAATTCTCTGTGTGCCATTAAAAATATCGCAATGCCTTGTGTGCCCCTGGAAAAGTTCAGTGATCTTCAGCGCCACTGCTCTAACTTTTTTGTGCCCTCCATGCCACTGCCGTCAGTTTTTGGGCTCTAACGCCGTCAAACAGCAGGTGTGAAAAGTCGAAAATACCCATATGTCTAA